ACCTCCAACATACCAAAACCTTCTCGAGGATATAGAAGACTGTTTGGGCCTCTCGAACCCCAAGCGATTGATTGTATAGGCAGTTGCTATCGAAACAACGTGCGATTTGTAGACCTCACTCCCTTTTACTACTCCCTATCCCCGTACTGCTTCATAACTGTGACTTGTAAACACATACTTCAGTTAGTCGAAAGTGAATCTGTCAAGATTAAGTTTCTTGAACTAAGGAAACTTAAAATGTACCAGATTTTACACTCACCTTCGCCAGCCCCTCCCATTCTTAGCAATTGTGTGCTATCCTTGCCAGATGAGCCTTTTGCGCAACAGTAGTAAAGCCAGTAGATGAAGAACAAAATAAGTAGCACAGTTAGTATTTTTTGGAGTGTATCGTCCATTGAGACGGCCAACTTTCACGGTAGGTCAATATGGAATGAGGTCTTGTGGAAGTTTCGTTTCATTTGCTATGTAAATCGGTGATACCAATGATTACACTTTATTGCAGCTTTTATCTGCGGTTAAACTAATCTTGAATAATAAGTACCCAGTGTTGGTACAGGCTAAAGCACCTAATCGTTCGATATCCTTTTATGCAAAAAGCATAGTAATAGCTTTTCTTCAGTGTGTGATGAGCACATGCTCTCGTCTCCTCTTCGCAGCTTCACCTCACGTAGTTGAGAAGTAGTAAATTGACTTCACAGATAATGCCTTAACCTGTTCCAATCGTTCCAGAAGGTCAATGCAGGGGAAGCCTTCACACCTCCATCTGCCTTCAACTATGTGAGTGGTATTTTGCCTCGTCACTTTCTATGATCGCTCGACATGGTCACAATTCAAAAAATTTTAAAATTCTTGAAGGCACAGTTCACGATAATTTTATGCAATCCAGATTATGACGAAAGATGGAAAAAATAAGGTGGGAAATAGTGCTATGAAGGCGAAGAAACTAGGTGAATCGGTGTTTCCAAAGTTAAAAAAGGCGTCGAAAAATTATTAAAAAGAGGGCTGGACGAGAGTGAGACCAGAAAAATGGAGAAGAATGGGGCATTTGGACGAGCTAAAAAATGTGTCTCAGTGCGTACGTTTGGCTCCTGGTGCTAATCGCTAGCTACGTCAAAATTTATTCACTCACTTATTAGCATGGGTTAACAAAAAAACCAAGTAACAGCAAAAATAGTCCACCTTTCTCAGCCTCTTGGGGTAGAAAATTAGATTAAGGATGGCAACAGCAAAAAGAATAACAGAGAACAAAAGAATAGGAGGACAACATAGCCTCATTATTCTACGATCAGCTGATTGTGTGTGGATTCTAGAGCGAAAATCTCCAATCTGTATCCCCTCAAAACTCGTCCAAGGCCGCGCGAGCCGGAAACAGGGCTTCCATTATGCCCTAAACGTCGAATTTTTGGGCGCGAGAGGGTCCTTCCTATTATCCTTGGGGGCCACTGAGTATTCCTGGGGGAAGAACTCTGTAACCATTATTATCGTGAACCGTGCTTTTAAGCTTGGCATGCAGGTCAGTCTGTTGTCCTCCCCTTACTCTCGGCGAGAGGGCGACCAAGGCAATGGAACTAAATATCGCCAAAATACTCATGCCCTCTCACCGTATCATGACGGACCTATTTGGAGAATAGTCAATCGGAAACCTTTCTAGACATTGGAACATCGCGGAGCAACCCGTACCACGTCTTGCGGACGGGAACAGCGAATGAAACAACAAACTTGTGGAGCTTTACGAGACAACCACTTGAGAATCGATGCATGCAGATTGGGTCATTCAATCCAGTTCCCCTCGTAGACGATATCTACTGAAGTCGTTAAGAAAGGAAAGATTGTTTCACGGAAGATTTTCATTAGGTAAGAACCCCATCCCTTCGAATGACTTCTCGTCCTCCCATCACCAGCGAGACTCCTCACTACAAGTCTGACAGGGCCTAGAAAGTTCCCCGCCACATCTACATCTAAACTTAGCATGTATTCATCCGACGAGTAAATCGAGCAAGACTGCTACCTGGGCGCAAGGTAAACGAGCGAAGATATTGTTTGATGTTTCTACCTCGCTTCTCTTTCATTCCTCCTTGAACTGTACGCATTATAAATATTTTTATAATGAAATCATCGACTTTCTACAGGTGCTGTAAATTTACTTTGGCTTGCAAAAAAATAGTGCGTTTCAAAATAAGTCAGCGCAAGCAGACATCGCAATATTTGACATGAATTAGCGGCTTTGAATTTTGATCGCCTTCATCAGTAGGTCCTACAGTGTGCGCTAACACAATGCAGACAAGCGCTCTATGTCAGAGACCACGCGGTGCTGTAACCGATATTACAAACTTCCCTGCATCAAAATTGCATGCCCTTCTGGTATGCTCCCACGTGTCTTTTTCACTTTGCTGTTTCGCTCATCAGTAGTTATTATCTTGATCGATTGAATTCGCTGAGCAAGAGATGCTCCGCTCAGCATGAACTTACAGCAAGGAAAATAGTACAAAGTCATACAAAATCAACTGAGTAATGGCGACAGGGCGAGTCAATACAGGGACAAGGGTCTGTTATATAGCATTTGCGAATAACATTTCTTCCAGGACAATAAGTTCTTCTCTCTGAAAGCAGCTGGATAGTGCCGTAGTTGTGGGCAGTTGCATGATGCAACGCACGCTAAGCAACCAGTTGGTAACCCAAAACTCGTTACTGACTAGGGTCAAAGCAACCTTACTCTGGTTCATTCATTTTCGTATATCAACTGGTTTCGGCTAGTTGTTTACTGAAGAATTTTTTGCGTTGGTTTTCATTGAATGCTTTCTTGTTCCTTCTCGATCTCCATATATCGGGCAGCTTACACATCTTGGAGTGTGCCTTCAATGTGTATATTGCGCAGACAAAAAGCTTCAAAATACCTACAAGATGCACCGCGTAAGTAGTGTGCTTTCTCACTCGTGTCGCCGCTTGAACGCTTAACGCTTGACGCCCATGGGCCAACGCAAAGTCTGAAGACGGTCACTGCGAAGTAGTATGTAATATTATAGTTGACCCTGTACAGTCCACCATTTTCCCCATCTGAGTCGGGAGAGTTATGAAAAGCGTCCTTAGAGAAAATGGGAGTTACAGGGCGCCCAAGTTTATCAGAAGAATGGAGAACAAGTGATGAGAGTATCTCAACGATTGACGATTGCTCCGAGCATGCAATAAGACCTTTGGTTTGTTTTTTTTTGGCAATTTTTTGATGCTCGGCTTGTCTGGAAGCCACCGCGGTGAGGTTCTTGATTCTTCCACAATTTAATGTGATTCAAGCACTGAATAGAATTCTGAAAACTGGTTCTTCTGTGTGTCTTTGTTGGTTCGCTTTAAGCTTCAGCTGCACTTATCTAGATTTTATGTAAAATGAAAATTTTTGAGATATCTAGACGTTCGCCTGTCAAGAGGTGCGCCGATGACGACTCCCGACGAGCGCGACCACTGCCAACAAACGTCATTTCAACAACGACCTTGACAACTGGGTCAGCGGGCGACAGTTCGACATTCACCTATGTCTGGTAGGGCATTTCCTGGGCTTCTAAAAGGATACTGCTGTTCCTATCAAAAAGCTCAAGAGCATTGTACAATGCGCAGCAGACCTTCTGCTTTGACGTTATGGACTCACCATCAGTAAAAAGATTAGCTTAGCAGAGGCTTTAGGAACGCGTAAGTCAAAGTAAAAAGAATAATTTGTTAAAGGTTCCGGCCACATACCTTTACGGATTCTCATGTTAAATGTGGGCAATAGTAACGTAAATTCTATGACAATGATTAACCGACCAAGCACTTTCCTTATTGCCCTCCCTTCAAGCGATATCTGGCCTGTAAAAATGAGAGACCTGTAGCTGAAAAGGGGATAGGAACGACTTTGGTCACATAAAGAAGAGAAAAATAGAAATAAGAGTGCTCAGTTGCGAAGGAAATACAAAGTTGGTGTCCCTGTGACTTGTTAAAGTCTAAAAAAAGATGCCTGTTAAGATTTCCAACCGAAAAGGCTGAGTGTGGTGAGCCGTAGACTTTTCGAATTTACAGAGAAACTCACCATAAGCAGAAGCTAACCCTTAACTCCACAAAAAAATCTCATAAAACAAACTCCACTCTATGGATATTGTAATGTGGAAAACTTTACTTTGTATTATTCTGCGAAACCGTTCCTAAGATAAACAAGACTAAACCCTCTGTATCTGAGACCAAATCGTAAAACTGAACGGTCAATCACTTCCAATCAATTTGAAAACCTATGTAACAACTCATTACTTTTGAAAGATGTGAAAGAAGGGTAGAGATGCACTTTTTTTGAGTCTCCATACAAAAAAGCAAAGCCTACGATCATAATGGAAAACAGGTCCAGCTGTTTATTTTTAGGAGTTCCAAGCTGACCAATCATAGGAAATGTTCCGGTGCATGATGGCACGCTGTGCCGATGATGAGAGTGAGGGTACCTAACCTTCATACTACTTCCAGGTTTTACTTTCTCGCAATCAGTAATAAAAACGAAGTGGTGGAAACTAAACATACACTTACTTACATTAGTCCGAACACTTCGACTAATATGGGCCACTGAGTAACTGCTCACTTCTCGAAACCGAGCTGCATCAAGTAGGGGCTAACTACGAATCATTCCCATCACTGCATGATATCTCTCAAAGCTTATAATTGAAGTCTAGTTACGTTCTCATTTCTTTCAGCCTCGGAGGAAGGACAAGTCTCTGGTTAGCCCACTTGTAGTTTTGTGCTAAATTGAACGGGCTCGTTGCGCCTATTTAGAGGGAAAACTTGGATAATGACTACAACTCGATTCCGGATTTTCCACAGGATCAAGTAATATCTACAAATGAGACGTCTATAAGAGCCACAACGGCTATCTATGCGCTTCCAAATCTCCAATGATCATTCATATTAATTGCTTTTACTCCTTTTCTTGACCACAGATGTAAATAAAAACAGAATTCCTAGTTGGCAAGGAAGCCTCAGAACACTATTTCACATAATAGTAGAATTTTATTCAAAGTATTGTTTTTTCAGTTACTGCTTTTCTCTCATATCATTGCTACTTTGGGTCCACAGTGGAATTCGTAGTAACTTAGCCGCCCACTGTAAGAGGGTCACCCAAAAGCAACCTATGAAACATACAGTGAAGGTCCTTTTCTTATTCAGAATGATTATTTAACACAGCTGCTGAAATTGGCGGCGACACACTCTCAGACCTTGAATAGAGACTAACCAAGCATGATCTTTGCAAAGTTTGTGTGATGGTCAAGCACAACCGCCACAACCACAGGGTATCTACCACGTAGATTCATCAATCTTGGATTCAATGAAAGTTGAAAGCCAAGATGGAAATTTCCAAAAGAGATTCAAGCATTGCAGTAGAATGGGCCGA